CTGGCTTCTCTCACTGAGCGTAATGTTCTCAAGGTTCATCCACACTGTGTAGCCTGTGTCAGTGCTTCATTTCTTTTTTTCTTAATTAATTATTTTTAATGGGATGATAATTGCTTTACAATATTGTGTTCATTTCTGCCACAGATCAACATGAATCAGTCACAAGTATATATATGTGCCCTCCCTCTCCCACCCCATGCCACCCCTCTAGGTCATCACAGAGCACCAGGTTGAACTCCCTCTGAGTTGTTGTGCGGCAAATTCCCACTGGCTGTCTTTTTTACATAGGGTGATGTATATGTTTCAGTGCTACCCACTTCATTTCTTTTTTATTGCCAGTTAACATTCTGCTTTGTGGATGGATTCACCACATTTTATTTATCCACTTATCAGTTGGTGGACATTTGAGTTCTTTCTCCTTTTTGGCTGTCGTGAATAAGGCCGCTGTGAACATTCGTGTACAAGTTTTTGTGTGGACATACGTTTTCTTTTCTCTCGGGTGGATTGGAGCTGCTGGATCGTGCAGTAACTCGGCTTAACTGGTGAGGTCGAGGACTTTTGATAGCTCCTCGAGCCCCTCAGTCTCCTTTCCAAAGCCCTTCCCATCTGTTCTCGATCTCTGCTCTTGTGAATCACAGGCTGGCCGCTTCCGCCAGACTAGCCAGGCTCACCCCCATCCATCGTCTGACCTGTGTGTCGGGGCCTTTGCCCTCTGGCTGATGCTTCTCACCCCACCCAGGACGTGGCCCGGGGGCACCGTCGGCCCCCGACATACAGTTCTTTGAGACGCACGGCAATTTAAAAAATCTGAATTATTTGTACACATGAGATTGTACTTAATGATCCAGTTTTTCCTGTTCTCTGTGTAAATGACAAGATTTCGGTCACTGTGGGCCCACATACCTGTGAGGCACTCCCTGCCTGACTGCAGCCGAGGGACATGGCCCTGCCTTGTCCTCCTCACACCTTTCCTGGCCCGTGAGGTGGTGAGCCCCTGGCCCCTTACGTCGACCCCCCCCCCCCCCCCACCAAAAAGCCCAGCTTGGTTTCCTGCTTCAGCCATCAGCCTCCACTTCTGAAAGCCACCAGGGCCCGTGCTGCTCAGCCCCACGCCAGGCGCCCTGTTCCGCCTGCGGCTGTCTGGGTGGGAATCACAGTGGAGCCAGGGAGGAGGTGAGAACGGCAGGCCCTGGGGCTGGTTTGTTGTTGTTTAGTCGCTGAGTTGTTTCCAACTCTTTGCGACTCCATGGACGTAGCCCACCAGGCTCCTGTGTCCATGGGACCTCCCAGGCAAGAATATTGGAGTGGGTTGCCATTTCCTTCCCAGGGGATCTTCCTGATCCAGGGATCGAACCTGTGTCTCCTGCATCTCCAGCCTTGCAGGTGGATTCTTTATCACTGAGCCACCAGGGAAGCCCCTGGGGCCAGCTGCCGAGGTTCCAATTTCATTTTTACCCCTTTACCAGCTGAGTGACCTTGGGCAAGTTGCTTGACTTCTCTGAACCTCAATTTCCTTACATTATATTTATTTTTAATATATTGAAATGCATATTTTATTTATTTGGCTGTGCCAGGTCTTCGTTGTGGCAGGATCTTTAGTTGCAGCATATGAACTCTTAGTTGTGGCATTCAGGATCTAGTTCCCCAACCAGGGATCAAACCTGGGCCCCATGCATTGGAGTGTAGAGTCTTAGCCACTGGACCACCAGGGAAGTTCCTCTTTACATTTTAAAATGAGGGTAATAGCAGGACCTCTGTACATGTTGTTACTGTGAGGGGTAAATGGACTGATATATACATCTGCCGTTATTGCTGTTATATGTTATCTTTTTCTTGATGTCTTCTCAGTGATATTGTGAGTACTTTGGAGACCAGACCCCTGTGGGGCCAGGAGCCTGAGCCTTGGTTTCCCAGCCGGGGGCATTTAGGATAGTTTGGCTGCACCAGCCGGGCTGGGTGTCCTGTGTGTCCCGGGTTCTGCCTCCTTGACCAGAGCTGCAACCTCAAGCCCCACTCTCTAGAACCAGACAACTTCCCAGGAGCCGACTGTGGGTCTCACTTCCTGCCCTGTGACCCTGGTGCCACTGCCACGCCTGGCTTGTAGGGCTGAGCTCAGGCCAGGCGGCTCCTGCTCACTGTCCAGCTGGCCCAAGCCTGGCCAGGGCCGGTGGGCCAGGCAGGTCTGAATCAGGGGCCATTTCTTTCTGTTGGTTTGAATTAAGTATTGATAAGATAAAAAAAAGAATGATTACACAATCCCAGGTGGCGCTAGTGGTGAAGAATCCACCTGCCAACACAGGAGATGCAAGAGACCTGGGTTCGATCCCTGGGTCAGGAAGATCCCCTGGAGGAGGGCATGGCAACCCACTCCAGTATTCTTGCCCTGGAGAATCCCATAGACAGAGGAGCCTGGTGGGCTACAATCCATGGAATCACAAAGAGTCAGACATGACTGAGCAGGCACACACACACACAATCTAGGTAACATGCAGAACTATGATGTAACAGATACCTGTGAACTTGCAAACCTTGGGTCCCTCCCCCAGTCCTATCCCAGTTCCTGTTCTCTACAGTCCAGGTTTTAGGTGGACTTTCCCCTTGTTTCTTTATCGTTTCTGTGTGGATCCAGTTGCCTAAAAACGTGCTGTTTAATTTTGAAGAGTCAACACGCTGTGTATGTGTGTGTGTGTGTGTGTGTTGTGTGTGAGAGAGAGGGTTGAGTCTTTCTGTCTCTTTAATCTGCATTCAGGATAATCTGCATGGATCTGTCTTCTAATAACTTTTTTTTTCCCCCAACCTTTTGTAATCCATAAAACCTGTCTATGGAATTTCTTATTTCCCCTTGTATTTTTCATTGATTTGAAATTCTGTTTATCCTGGTCATATTATATTTTCAAAGCAGTTTATATATTTATATTACATCGTCGGCTTTATTTCTCTGAACATGGAACCTCCGAGGTGGATCCCTGGTGGTGTGTGTATTTCAGCTTCCCGGCCACACAGTGTTCTGTGGAGTGACTGCAGTGCTGTATCTGGTGCTTGAGATGCTGCAAGGAGCAGGCAGATGCAGTCCTAACCTGATGGAGCATCAGGGTGGCAGGAAGAGCGAATAACAGGCAGCACCAAGTTAGTCAGGGGAAACGTCCGAAGATAGGGCCCTCTAGGAGGGCAGGCCGAGAGTTTGGTAGAATCTCCTGGAAGCCGAGACCTGAAAGATGAGCAGGAGCTGCTGGATAACAGAGCTGATCCCATGTTACAGGTGACGCATGCAGGCCTTTGATAAACAGCTGTTCTTCCGGTGGTGGTGTCACCTTTTTCTGTACGTAAGGCTGTGAATTGGCCTGAGTCTCAGCAAGTCAGCAGAATGTGAGCCATGCCATGTGAGGTATTGTGGCGTTTGAACCCTAAGCCTTAAGACCACTGGCTTGTACGTATTTGAGTCACTGGTAGTCAGAGTTGGTTCTGAGTCCTGGAGGAGGAAGTGTGTCGTGTGTGCTTAACCAGCTCCTGACTGCTCATCCCAGCCCTGGGCCTCTGACTTCTTCCTCTTGTGTAGACGGGGACGGTCGTGGACCCGCCGTGCCAGACCCTGTGGGTGTAACAGGAGGGGTGCCTGGCATCTCCACGCTGTGCCAGGCACAGTGAGCATTGTTGTCACTGCCAAGCTCTGTGGTCATGTTCTTTCTATGTGTCACCTTCTTTTATCTTCTCGGCGACCCCATCCACTGGCCACCTGCCATTTCCACCTGTGTGTTTTAGGCTTAAATAGAACTGGTTTCCCCTCCATCAACCCCTTCCGCTACCCAGTCCCCTCATCTCAGGAAGTGTCACCATGCCCGTCTTCTGCTCAGGCCTGAGCAGTCACCTTCCCAGGAGCCAGTACCCCCCCGCCACTGCCCCGAGTCCTTGAAGCTGGCTTTGGCTCCTCCTTTTCACTGGTGCTCGCTTTCATGAGTCAGCTTACATGCTAAGTTGCTTCAGTCATGTCCAGCTCTTTGTGACCCCAAGGGTCATAGCCCACCAGGCTCCCCTGTCCATGGGATTCTCCAGGCAAGAATGCTGGAGTGCGTAGCTATGTCCTTCTCCAGGGGACCTTCCCGACCCAGGGTGGAACCCGCATCTCTATGTCTCCTGCATTGGCGGGTGGGTTCTCTATCTCTAGTGCCTCATGGGTCAGCAGGTCCAGCCAGTTCTCACTCCAGAAGTGCCGTCCACCCTCTTCAGCTGCTTTACCCCATCCCTTTAGTCCAGGTCACAGCATCACCCCCCGTCCCCACCTCTGGGCCACCACGTGGTCTGCTATAGTCGCCCTCCTCACAGCAGGCCGGGGCGTGAATGTGCGGAAGGTCTTGCCATCTCCTACTTCAGCTCCTGCCCTGCTTTCCCTGAGCGTGGGAACAAATCAGCCTCTGCCCCTCATCCTGCAAGCCCCGCCCTCCCAGCCCCTTCTCCTGGCGCCTGGCAGCCAAGCTTGTCCATCCTCAGGCTTTTCCTCTCTTAGCTCCCTTCGTCTGGAACACTCTGCCCGGCTTCTTGCAGGGCTGCTCCTGCAGGTCTCAGAGCAGACTCCCTATTACCCTCTGCCATGAGCTCTGTCTATAATGTCTTTATTGGCTTTTCCTCCCTCTGCTCGACTATAAGCCAAGGGCAAGGACCCGGCACTTACGTGGGCTTGGTAGGGGGTGACAGTGAGTGCCCTTTGATGGCAGGATGCAGAGCAGAGACTTGGAAGTCAGGTGACTCACCCAGGGTCACGCACCAGCAAGCTGCCCAGGCCCTCACCGGGGTGCCTACCTTTCCAGGACCAGGGCCTTGCCAGGCAGAGGCCTGGAGAGGCCCATGGGGTCTGACACCGCCTGGTGGGACGGGTCTCGTTGGCTCAGGGCCGCCCGCCCCCTTCCTGCCCGGTTCTGCTCTGGCACTCCAGACTAGGGAGTGTGGCTGTGGGCACAGGTCAGCCTCGTGCCCGGTCCTTATGACTCCTCCCCACCCCCCGCCAGGCCGCACCAGCTTCTACGAGGAGTACGGCGTCATCCGCGACGTCCTGCAGAACCACCTGACGGAGGTCCTCACGCTGGTGGCCATGGAGCTGCCCGTCAACATCAGCAGCCCAGAGGCCGTGCTGCAGCACAAGCTCCAGGCCTTCCCGGCGCTTCGGGGCCTGCAGAGGCACAGTGCCGTGCTGGGCCAGTACCAGGCCTACAGTGGGCAGGTGCGCAGGGAGCTGCAGAAGCCAGACAGCTTCCACAGCCTGACGCCGACCTTCGCAGGTGGGCCTGAGGGCCGGGCACGGGCTGCTCGGCCGCCCCCCACCCCCAGGTGGAAGCAGTCCTCCCAACACAGACTCCTCAGGGTGGGTCAGGAGGGGCTGGAAGTGGGATTTTCCCAAGGTGCTTAGAGGCGAGTGAGAGATGCCCCTGCCTCCCTGCCCTTCTGCCAGCCTAAAGCAGCGGGTCACCTGCTGGCTCCCTCTGGACAGAGGGACAGACACCTCAGTGATGATCTCTGTTCAGTCCACGGATGTTTCCAAGGCTCGCCCAGCTGGGCTCAGACATGGCTCTGCCCTTGAGGAGCTTATCCAGCCCCTGGAGAGGCTGCAGGCCAGGGGCACCCTGGCCGGCATGCAGCATGCCAGGCAGGCAGGTGCCCACCGGGGCCGTCCTCTGGGCACTTGCACAGGCTCAGGGCTTTCTGGGGGTGGCCGGCTCCCTAACACTGCCATCACAAACCCCAGGACCAGAGCAGCAACTCAGGTCAGGTGCCAACTGCGTGCCCAGCACTGTATGCACATCACCTCATTTAATCCTCCCGTGCAAACACATCAGGCAGGTGTCGTCAGCCTCACTTAAAGGTGAGGGGCTGTGAGGCTCGGCGAAGTTGCTAGAAACTTGCCCAAGGTCACGCAGAGATAGGCCGTGGGAAAACCAGGCTTGCAGCTCAGTCTGGAGGGCACTCTGCATCAGACTCTCACTGCCATGGGCCCCTGCAGGCCGCCTCAGCTGTACAGTGGTTCTGTGCAGGCCTGTGGCTGAGACCCCTGGCTCCCCCTGCCACCACCTGCCCCCCCATATCTGATGGCCTCAGTGCATCCTCAGCACTCTACAGACAGGAAGGAAGCACCTCTCCCTAGGAACACCTCCCCCTATCCCCATTCAGCATCAGTGCCACCTTGCACCCTGACCCCTGCCCCGTGAGACTTCTCATAGAATCTCCCTATTGGAGCTCCTCAGCCAAGCTCCCCTTTGTTTGGGGACGATGGTGCTGAGAGGCCTCTCAAGGGCCGTGGGTGTCCGAGGTGGCCCATGAGGCTGCTTTTTGAGCAGCGACTGGGAAGAGAAGATAATGGAAGAGGTGAGAGGTAGGGGTGAGGCTAGCAAAGCCAGAGGTTCCCAGAGGAGGAATCAGAGAAAAGGAGGCTGGCCAGCAGGAAGGAAAGAGGCAAAGGTAAGCAGGCCAGGAGGTCCCGGGTCCTGTGCCTGAGCATCACCTCCGCTGTCCCCCTGTCGCCCGCCCCAGGCATCCTCGTTCACATAGACAACCTCCGCTGGGAGGGTGTCCCGTTCATCCTGATGTCGGGCAAAGTCTTGGATGAGCGAGTGAGCTACGTGCGGATCTTGTTCAAGAACCAGGCGTTCTGCGTCCAGAGCGAGAAGCACTGGGTTGCTGCCCAGAGCCGCTGCCTGCCCCGGCAGATCATCTTCCACATCGGCCACGGCGAGCTGGGCAGTCCTGCCGTGCTGGTCAGCAGGAACCTCTTCCGGCCAGCCCTGCCCTCTGCCGGCTGGAAGGAAGTGGAGGGCCGGCCCGGGCTGCGCCTCTTCGGCCTCCCACTCTCCGATTACTACGCCTACAGCCCTGTGCGGGAGCAGGATGCCTACTCCGTGCTCATCTCTCACATCTTCCACTGCCGGAAGGACTCCTTCGTCACCACGGAGAACCTGCTGGCCTCCTGGGCCTTCTGGACGCCCTTGCTGGACAGCCTGGCCCACGAGGTCCCGCGCCTGTACCCGGGAGGAGCAGAGAACGGACAGCTGTTAGACTTCGAGCTCAGCAGCGGCCACCTGTCCTTCTCCCAGCCGCTGCCGGAGCAGCTGATGCCAGGGCTGGACTCCGCCCCGCTGCCCAGCGACTTCCAGGTCCTCAGGGCCAAGTACCGAGAGAGCCCGCTGATCTCGGCCTGGCCTGAGGAGCTGATCGCCAGGCTGGCGGGCGACATCGAGGCCGCCGCCGTGCGGGCCGTGCGGCGCTTTGGCGAGTTCCACCTGGCGCTTTCGGGCGGCTCGAGCCCGGTGGCCCTGTTCCAGCAGCTGGCCACAGGGCACTACAGCTTCCCGTGGGCCCACACGCACCTGTGGCTGGTGGACGAGCGCTGCGTGCCACTCTGGGACCCCGAGTCCAACTTCCAGGGCCTGCAGACACACCTGCTGCAGCACGTGCGGGTCCCCCACTACAACGTCCACCCCATGCCCGTGCACCGGCGTCAGCGGCTCTGCGCCGAGGAGGACCAGGGCACCCAGGCCTATGCCGAGGAGATCTCTGCCCTCGTGACCAACAGCAGCTTCGACCTGGTGCTGCTGGGCATGGGCGCCGATGGACACACGGCATCCCTCTTCCCACAGTCGCCCACCGGCCTGGACGGCGAGCAGCTGGTGGTGCTGACCACGAGCCCCTCCAGCCCGCACCGGCGCATGAGCCTCAGCCTGCCCCTCATCAACCGCGCCCAGAAGGTGGCCGTGCTGGTCATGGGCAGGATGAAGCGTGAGATCGCTATGCTGGTCAGCCGCGTGGGCCACGAGCCCAAGAAGTGGCCCATCTCAGGCGTCCTGCCAGATTCTGGCCAGCTGGTGTGGTACATGGATTACGACGCATTTCTGGGGTGATGGAACTTTGGCCCTTTGCTCACCCCCATCCTCCCCTTGATTCACCCTCTACCCTCTCAGTCCTGCCCCCCCACCCCATCCGCACGTGCCGTCCTCTCTGGAATCTGACACCTCAGGGTCAGGCCTCCAGTGGGGAAGGACAAGACTCCGTCCCAACCCTGCGGCAGTCCCCATCTAGTGGTGGCAGGCCCCCATGGAACAAGGAAGAGACTGCAGCTCTGCTCTTGAAAATCTACAGATCCAAGTCAGGGGAGAAACATCCACCTTAAATAAAGGCCTGCAGCAGTTACATGTGGGCATCCACCAGCACAAACAGGACTGTCTGAAAGCTCCCCACTGGAGCAGGAGTGCAATCAGGGAGTGGTTAACCAGGAGGTAGGTGTGGGCCAGGCACCTTGGACCGCCTCCAGCAGAAAAGCAGAGCGTGAATGGTGGAGCCCAGGTGCCCACCTGGAGCCACGAGCGCCTGCTAGGACCTGCCGCCTCCTCCTCCATCCTTTTTTTCTCCAGCCTCCAGCTCAGCCTGCTATCCGGTCCCCTCCAGGGCCACCTCCATCTGCTCTGCATCTCAGGTCCTGTCTTCCTAGACCTCGCCAGGGAGGTCTTCCCACCCGCTCTGCTTCTTTGCTGTCCCTCAGACACCCTAGCAACAAACACTAGGATGTGGAAACGGATCCAGGAATCTTGCGACTGTGCCGTGGAGCTCCTTTTCTCAGTAGGTGGACTTTACCAATGGCAGGAGGCGCCGGTTCCCCAGCTCCGTCAGGGAGGACCCCTGCCCCAGGCACGTGCCCCTGTCTCCAGCCTTGGCCCCACTGGAGCCTGTCTTTTGTGGGGCGGGCGGGCGCCAATAGCGTGGACCTGCCACCACAGCCAGATAGCTCTGCGTGAAACACTGAAACACACTGGACACAGTTGGTCAGGCCATTCCTGGGATCTGCATTGAAGAGGATCCTTTGTGTCTCAGGGGACTTCCCCAGTGAGTGTTTCCACTCTGTGTCCCCTCTTGTTTTACCTGAAAAGATCCAGTTAAATCTTTTTCTTATGGTAACATCCTACCTGGGGGGAGTGAGATGTGACATCAGGGCACCCAGACCATCCAGGCGCTCCGACCCTCACCCAGCTGGATCCAGGCCTTCCTGGCAGGGCGGCTGCGGCCCACGTCAGCAGTGGCTGTCCACCGCCGTCCCAGGGCCTTTGCTGGTTGTCAGCACCAAGAAGGGGCGACTGCTGCCCACCCTCTCACACTACCTCGTGGAGGCATCGGCCTCTTGTGTGCCAGCCCCTCCTGCCACTGCTCACCTCACCACTAACACATCACTGAAGATTTGGGGGGGCAGTCCCGGTTGAGCTTCTCATTTAGAGTAAACGGGTGCTCCTGAGAAGCCCTGGACCAATAACAGCTGTTTCTCTGAAACCCCCAAGCGGTGGGGGGCATCTACAAAATTCTTTTATAAAAAAGTGAAAATTCTCAAAACACACTTAATTTCAGCTTTCCACACAGCCCAAGGATAAAGGATAAAGCAGGGGTTTTCCGTGGAACAGCTTCCCCATCTTATAGGCACAGTTTGTATCAGATCAGGCAGATAAAAAGTGTCAAGGTCACACCAAGGGCTTTCCTGGGCAAGAAGGAACATCATGAAATGTGTCTTTCAACTTTTTATTGTTTACACTTTCTTCAAGGCTGTTTACACTTCTTCAAGAATTTACAGGATTTCTTGCTTTGGAGATGTGTGCCCGTGAGGTGGGTGCTGGCCAGGGGCTCTGCACATAAAGGTACCTATTAACATTTGGTTTCCCCCAGCCTCCAAAGACCCCATCCAGACAGGATATCAATATTTATGCCCAGAAGACTCACCTGGGCCAATCAGAGCACAATGCCCAGATAGGGAAGTCTTTTCCCTTTCTGAAAATCAGCGTTGTTTAGCTTTGAGGCTTCTGATGGGAGTAAACTATGGGAGTGGACACGTGGCTGCAGGTGTCACGTCCGGCCACATGGGGGCGCCCTCAGACCATCCCTGCTGTCTGGACCACAGAGATGCTCATTCCCCGCCTCCCCCACTCAGGCTCCTGAGCCTCCCTGGATCTGTAGCACTGAGGATCACCCCCTCCCCATCCTCCTCCCCCTCCCCAACCTGTTCCTTAGAAACCTCTGTGAGAAAAAAAGGGACCTGCACGTGCCCAAGTGTCGCTGCAGGATAAGGGGCCAGCAAACTTCTGATGTCACCGTTTCTGAGTAACAGCGAGTTACCGTGGGCCTGAGCTGGGCATGTCCTGTTCTGAGAGGAGCGCCTTGCCTCAAAATGCACGTTCATCTTTAGATGTGTAGGGGCCAGGGCCAGGCGGGGGCAGGAAGTGCCAGGAAGTGCCTTCCCAGAATCAAGTGCTCTGGGTTTTTTGTTGTTGTTTAATTGGGGTATAGTTGCTTTATAATGTTAGTTTCTGCCATACAACAGAATAACCAGCTGTTTATACACACATATCCCCTCTCTCTTGTGCTGCTTCCCTGGTGGCTCAGTGGTGAGGAATCCAATTGCCATTATGGGAGATGTGGGTTCAATCCCTGGGTCGGGAAGATCTCCTGGAGAAGGAAATGGCAACCCACTCCAGTATTCTTGCCTGGAGAATTCCATGGACGGGGAGCCTGGCAGGCTACAGTCCACGGAGTCACAGAGAGCACGCACACATGCACCTCCCTCTTGAACCTTCCTCCCAGGTCCCCCCCACCCCGCCCCCCATCCCACCTTTCTAGGAAGTGCTGTCTTAAAGTCACACCAGCGTAGTCCACTGGGAGCCCTTGTCATATTCCCGCTTCCTCCCACTCCCCTTCCCCTTTTCTTTCTCCTATCCTGTGCTGATGGTTTTCAGACTTTCTGGAAGTCTGATCCACAGCAAGAAACACACTTTACATCATGAGTCAGCATGAATCTGCATCTCAAGCAAAAGTTCCATAAATGAATTCTCATCCTGAAAATTCTGGATACCTTCTTTAAAAAAAATTTTTTTTTTAAATCCTGCTTATAATTCACTAAATCAAGCTGGTCCATAGTTTGAAATGTGCTACTCTAATCTGACTTTACCCTGTTGTGTAAGCCGAGGTCCCAAGGGTTGCCCTGTGTGGGCACCCAGCCCACACAGGGATGCTCATGAGCACTCTGGAACTGGTACCCAGGCTTCCTGTTCCCACAGCTTCATGCCTCAGGCTGGTCCCAGCTGATGCTGCTGCAGCCTCTGTGCTGCTGACTGCTCCCATCATGAGGGAGGGGAGGAGTGTGTGATGGAAGACACATCAATTGGAGCCCCAGGGCTTCTGGAAGTGGTGATCATGTGTCCTATACAAAGGGGTAATGTGTCCTATACAGAGGGTGGCAGACTCAGCACTAAACGTTTTCCGCTGTGTGGTCTTGTTTAGTTTTTACAACAACCCCGTGAGGAGGTGGAGGAATCCTGATTGACCGATGACTTTGAAGTTGAAACTGGAGTTGTCTAATGACAACAGGCCAGTTGTAAATTGGAAGTGGCCCACAGGGGTCTAGACATGTGCTCCCAGCCATTCTGCAGCGCCACCTCCTTCCCAGGGAGCCCAGCGCAGCTCCCAGAGTTTCCCAGACAGCCCAGGCAGCTGGAGCGGCCCTGCAGGCCTGTGACAGGAGGCCAGCTTACATCCTCCTCTCTGAAGCAGGCTTATTACCAGTTGCTGCAGGGAGAGATTTAGGGACTTTCCTAGCTGCTATGAGCTAGATTCTGATGTTGCTCCGGGAGCAAAGTTTCCTGCCAACCGCAAGTTAGGACAGTCCTGTCCTCCTGCCCCACTTCTTGTTCCTCTGCCGACAGTGCTTTCTTTCCAGTCCCGGGCCTCCCGGGGACCAGCACAACCCGGGCTCTGCCAGCGGGTGGTATTTCAGAACACTCCCTTGGGGACTCTTGTTCCAGAGCTCATGGGCCCCGTCTCCCCGGTCTGGGACCTTCCTCCTCCCCGTTTGTGTAGAGAACCAGACAGTGTGGCTGAGAAAGGGAGGGAGACGCTTCCGCAGAAACTTAAGGGGCGGTTTCCTACAAGTCAGTTTTCAGAAACAGATTTTTTTTTCTCGACAAAAATACACACAGCCTCACAGAAGCAGCCTCTGCATCAGCTTTACCAGCTCTATTTTTATCTTAAGCAGACGGGGACCCATGGACCTCAGTCCACTCCGGGCAGCGTGTCTGTGTCCGAGAATGAACGAGTCACAGGAAAGGCCAGTGGTGACAGAAGCGTGAGGGGGCCGTGGTGGCAGGTCCCTGAGATCAGTGTCTGCCTGCCCCACAAAAGATAGATTCCAGCGGGGCCGAAGCCTTGAGAGGCGCTGTGTCCTACGGTGGCCGCCTGCATGGCCCGGTAGGGGCCATCAGCTCCCCCTCATCCCTCTCCCAGCCTTCCCACCGCCCCGCCGGGAGCCTCCCACTTCCCCTTGAGGTTGCAGCTGTGCACGTGGCGGTCGAGAGTCCCACGAGGAAGAGGGCGGGTCCTCCAGCCTCATCCGTGTTTGGTCTGCGCCTGGGGACAGCATTGGAGGGATCCGCAGTGAAGTCAGCTCTCAGGGAGGCCCTGTGTTTTGACTGAGGTCGTGGATGCATTCCTCCAAGAACCCCGCCGGTCCCCCCCCCCCCCACTGCGCCCCACTGATGGGCCAGCGTCGGCTGAGGCATCAGCCTGCCAGTCCTGGGTCCCTCTTCCATTGCTCACTTGGAGGTTGGAGCTGGGCACCAGCGTGTCCTCTGTGGTCCTTGGCTGCATACTGCGTCACTTCCACATGAGATAAAAATCCCGCTTCCTGCTTTCCTACTCTAGAGGCCTTCCCAGGGCCAGGCATCTTCACCAGGGGAAGCCACTGGGGACCCACACCAGCCTGTGTTCTTGGAAGACGTGCATCTTCCAGGGCACCCTGGGACCCCTCTCCAGAGGTGCAGGCTCCTGGCCTCTGGCTATCAGCACCAGATGGGGCCGGAGTGAGAAACTCCAAGGATTGCTCAGCTCATTGCAAAGCAAGGTGCACACTCACGAACACTGTCAGCACAGGAGAAAAGTGACCTGAGACTAGAGGAGGCACTTCTGACCTCACAACAAGCTGGAGGTGTTGGGGGGATGATCCCTTTGATGAACTGTCCTCTCCTGCCAACTTTCGGGAGCCCATCTCTTTTGTAAAGTAGATGCCAGTGCTGTATCTGCATGGGACCATAGATGGGGAGGGGTGGAGATCTCAATTAAGTATGCTGCGTTTATTCTTGGTGGTTCTTTATTCTTGATGGTCTTTGCCTTCCTCTCAGGTGTTTTAAAGGAAATCTCTGCATCTTTTCTGTCCCTCTGGCATGGGAAGAGATAAATACATTTCCATTCACTGAAAGTTGCATGGAATATGGTTCCGTGGCTGGTAGCTTTAGAAACAGAAGTGTAAACAGAACTACATATATTCATCAGTTTGGGTCCTTAGCTGTACCCCACAGATGTGTCGAAAGGTCGGTTATAAATGGTACAAGGTACTCGAGTGTAAGAGGGAAGGATCCTGGAGAAGCTGGTAATCGAGTCTGAATGCGCGTCTCTGAGACAGGACCTGTACAGTCTGCCCCACCCCTCCTTGGTTTGGAAGAAGGGGATGAGAGCAGACATCAAGGGGCCTCTGCCGGCTCCGAGAGCCACTGCTTCCCGAGCCTGAGTGAAGGTTTTCAGCCTCCTTGGTGCTGTGTCTAGCAGCTGTTGCCAAAAAAGAGTCCTGGATGGGGGGTGTGGGCTCTGAAATCATGGTGTGTTGTAATCTGGGTTGTGTCCATGCGTTCTGTCCCGTGCTGGAAAGCAGCAATCCAAACAGGATTTCTCTTGGGAGGGAAGAGAGACAGGCAAGCTGTTACCTCGGAGGGACTGTCTGTTCCCCTGGGTGGTGGAAGACCATGATTATGACCCCCCCCTCCTCCCCCGACCCTGGCCAATGGCGTGAACATGCTACACCTTTCTGCAGAAAGAGCAACTGCTCCTGGCTTTTATGGAAACACTGAACACTTTTAACGCTGCCTCTGACAATGAGACATATTCAGATCAGAGTTTTTAAAATGCCTTTTTTGTATAACAAATGTACCATCTATTTTTTAAACAATAAAATTGTTTCCCCCAAATCCCTGTTCTTTATTTTTTCTGGGAGATGGAGTGTGACGGTCTGTGTGTATGCTTGGAAGGTGTGTGGTGAGGCAGACCCAGTTACCCTGCACCTATCACAGGTGGATCTGAGCAACCAGCCGGTCCCCACTTGCTTGAGGGTCCCTTGGGCTCCTGGGAGAGACAGTGGGGGGCAAGACAGCTGGGTTTCATAAGTTCACAAGCAGCCTGAGGGACGTCGTCTCCCCGTCAGCCTACCTGGCAGACCACTCAAGCAGCAGGCCTCGCCTGGAGGGCATTCACTGTGGTGTCTGAGGTGGGTGTCGGTTGGGGCACCTTTGGAAGCATCAGTATTTCGGTAAAATAATGCATACTCATTATAAGTGAATTCATACATTGCCCAAAAGCACACAAATGAATGTTAAATCACTGCAGTCCAGTCCCCTCCACTGCAGAAATGTTAGCAGAGCAATATTAGCAGAGGTGACCCAAAGCTCATGTCCTCACTGAGCTTCTGCTCCTCATGTTCTTGATCCTTCTGTGCGCCCTTTATTTGGGAGGTCCACCGTCCACCCCTCTTCAAGTTCCTCTTTCTCCTCTGCGCCCTCTTCACTAGCAGATTTCTCAGTGCCCTCGCAGTCACTTCTAGCCTCACATTCTGTTTGGAGTGGTCTCCGAGGTCACCTCTGATCCACTGGACCACACCACACCTCAAGGTGGCCGCCACGTACCACTAAGAGTCCACCGCTTCCACAGCAGCGGCCAACACAGCCCAGGCAGGAGACCTCATTTCACTGATGGTCAAGAGGTGACTGTCAGCAAGACCTGTTGGCTACCACCAAATCTGGGGGCCAGGACAGAGTCTGCCGACCCTGAGAGCAAAGCCCTGGTGGGGGTCAGGGGACCTGGCTTTCACTGCTGTCTCCTTGTCTTCCTTGATTCTCTTTGTGATTGTCTTTACCAGGGGGCCCCCAAAGCTGGGGTCTGTCCCCATTCTTACTTCCAATCAAGAGGGGAGGCAGTTTGGAAAAACTGAATTTTCTCATTTGGATTTTCATTTATGTAAAAAAAAGACACCATTAAGGGACTTCCTTGTTGGTCCAGGGGTTAAGACTCCTTGCTTCCCACTGCAAGGAGCACAAGTTCCATCCCTGGTCAGAGAACTAAGATCCTGCATGTTGCACGGCATGGCCAAAAAAGTTAAAAAAAATTAAAAACAGAAAGTTGTCTGCAGTGCCTGCCATCCTACCTAGTAGTTTTTTTATGTTCAGTAACCTCCCTTCCTCAGGAGATGCTCTCTGTGTCACACGGTTTTGTAGCCTTTATTTTTTATGTTTGTCTTACTGTAAGCCTTCTCCACGCATCCCCATGGTCTTCATAGTTGGTTTCCACACAAGTGTGAGATCCACTGATGGGAAGCATACTTGAAGCATGTCCCCTCCTCAGCTGTTGAACATTTAAGTTATTTTTAGCAATTATCAGATGGCACTAGTGGTAAAAAACCCACCTGCCAACACAGGAAATGTAAGAGACGTGGGTTCAATCCCTGGTCAGGAAGATCCCCTGGAGAAGGAAGTGGCAACCCACTCCAGTATTCTTACCTGGAGAATTCCATGGACTGAGGAGCCTGGTGGGCTAGTGAGGTTTAAAATGACCCAGTACTTGTGAACCACTTTGTAATCGAGAAACAAACCCTGATATGACAATAATTATAATCACAATAATAAGCAATGGCCTAGGGAGGAAAGGAGATGCAAAAGGAAGCTGGAAACCTCTAGGGCAGAAGAGAGAGGAGGGAACCACAGGGCCAGTATGGTCACAGGCTGTGTCCCCAGCACAACCCCTGAAAGAGAAGTGAGAAGAGGCTGCAGGGCAGGGTGACGGGCCCAGAAATCTCCTGGTGGTCCAGTGGCTAAGACTCCAAGCTCTTAATGCAGGAGGCCTGGGTTTGATCCATGGTCAGGGAACTAGATCCAACATGTCTCTGCTAAGACCTCAACTAAAAGATCCTGCCTACTGCAACTAAGGCCTGGAACAGACCAATAAATTAAAAAATTAAAAAAAAAAAAAAGTTCTTGAGCCCGGGTTCCACACTTTGGGTTTTCAAGCCCCCAGATTCCCAGGCTGCAGGCTACTTTGTTCCTGAAAGGTGGCCATGACTTGCTGTTTTAACCCAGACTCCTTCGGTTGCAAGTGACAGAAACCCAACTCAAACTAGATCTGAAAGAAGGATGTCCTGGCTCTGCTCTTTGGAAGGGCCAGGGTGGGGCAGATTCAGTGGGACCAAAGTCAGGGAAGTCAGCCAATGCTGTTAGGCTCCTCTTTCATTGGGGCTGCCAGGTTAGCAAATAGATCTACAGGACACCTAGTGAAGTTTGTTTCAGGTAAAGAACAAATAAAATTTTATTTTTTAAAATGTTTTTAATTGCTAGTTGACTATTAAGGATTTTTTTTTAAATGTTTATTTGGCTGCATTGAGTCTTAGTTGTGACATGCAGAATCTAATTCCTTGACCAGGAATCAAACCCAGGCCTCTTGCATTGGGAGCGCAAAGTTGGGCCACTGGACCAGCAGGGAGGTCCCCAAGTATCATTTTAGTAGCAGTATGTCCCAGGAAACATTGGGATGGACTTAGACTAAGACATTATTTGTTGTTCACTTGAAATGCAGGTGGCTCAGTGGTAAAGAATCCACCTGCAATGCGGGAGACGTGGCTTTGATACTTGGGTTGGGAAAATTCCCTGGAGAAGGAAATGGGAATCCATTCCAATATTCTTGTGGGAAATCCCATGGACAGAGGAGCCTGGCAGGCCACAGTCCATCGAGTTGCCAGAGTCAGACATGACTTAGCGACTAAACACACATGCACACAGGAAACGCAAATTTCCCAGGGTGTCCTGTGTTTCATCTGGCAACTCTCCTGTGCATGGTGGCCTCAATCCTGCCTCGATACATGACCTTCTTGTGAGGGATCGTGGCTGCCAACAGCTCACAGTATCTCAGTGACCCGGGATGCCCAGGGAAGAGACAACCTCGGGCTCATGGCTCTGCCTGGGACACCCTAGGGAGGACTTTACTGGCTCCCGCAAGGGTCACTGTGGTATCAGCACCAGGAGGGGCCTAGAGGGCCCACTCACATCTCTCCCCCTCATCAGAGCACCCCGTAGATTCTTGGATATGAACAGTTGA